CTGCTTTCCTCTAACCATACAGAGTGGCAAATCACACCAAGCGTGATCCTTCATCCTTATAAATGGAAGGCAGAAACAGCATGCCATGATCCTGTCACCTAGAGTCTGGTTTCTCAATAACTCTTCTGATTTTTAAAAAACCCTGCTTTTAAGATCTCATCACAGTTATCACAGAGTGAAAAATGATGATATTCTGACTGCTTCCTATTATTGCAGTGAAGACCTCAGATCCAACTCTGATTTCACTCTAGTTTCAAGTAGATTAACCTAAACATAATTCCTATTCAGTTCTGTGATGACTGTTTTTTTTCTTCACAAACAAGTGTGCTGTCTCTGCACACCCCCTAGTATGGGTGAATGGCAGATAAATTTGTTGATGAAGTAGGCAGTTCACTTTGTAATGTTTACTCCCACATGCAAAAGAAAAAACGGCTCTTCACATACTTGTTCATCCTCATTGTAACCCAATTTGATTTACTTTTTCATTTCTAGAACTAAGAGAAAAGTGGGTGTCTCTTTCTGACTGCACCATTTTCTTTTGCACTAGGTAATGATACACTATACCATCCCAGATTTTAGGAACACTGAAGAGTTTTTAACTTTACTTGCTCAGAAGAGGGGTATGCTGAAAAAGGGAGGCGTTCCTGATGTAGAGAACGTAGCTAAATTACTGCTTTGTGACTGGACAGGGTACGTATGCCATGAATTTTGCTTTATGCCCCTCACCTTTTTCATTGTTAATCCAGCACAGCAGAAGCTCTGAATCCTGAGAAGTCCTTAGAAAGGAGAGGCTGGGTTTTTATGTTTTTCCCTTTCTCACATTTTACTTTGGTAAAGAGAACTGGATTGGCTAACAGATGTAGAGAATGCCATCCATGGATAATTTTCTAAAGTAGTGAAGGATACATAGAGTCAGAGCCTGTTGCACGTTACTCCATAGCCACTTTGCTGACTTCTGCTCTAATGCTGTTAGGGGAATTTGCCTTCCTCTCAGATACTGAATCCATGTGGTCCTCTTCTACAGACAGCAAAGGATATGGCAGATTTTCTGTGGAAATTTACAGTGGTTCCTATATTCTGAGGGTGGGAATAAATGTAACTCAGTAATTAATTGTGACTATTTCCCTTGCTCAAATGATTCATCTGCTTTTACAGCTCATGATTTTACAGGCAGATGATTTGTGGTGACAAAGTATGCCATTTCTTTTTCCTCTCAGGAATGGCCTATCCACTTAATACTGTTATTGACAACTTCACTGTCAAATTTAAATAGCTGTTGAACTGCTGTTAAACAGATGATAATAAATTAGTCGTTAGGTTGAGGAGTTTGAGAGGTTTGTGCTCTAGGTTTTATTTTCAAATGCAGTGATTTAAGTATGTTATCTTTGGTTGGTTTTTTAATGCTGATATTTTATTTTCCCAGAGCTAAAATAAGCTACCACTCACAACCTCCAGAATCTCAGACACCACCACCCTATCTTACAGAAGACAAAATAGCTGAAATGCGGGAGTGCTTTAATTTAAAGATCCTAGAAGAAGAAAACAACAACACTGTTCAAGGTAGGACGGTTACTGTAACACACTGCTACCATTAAGAGTGGCAGTAGTAATTTTAATGGGAGATTTTGAATGGAAATCCTCCTGGGGTTTATGTGATAGCTCCGTCAATGTGCAGTAACTACGAAGCTTTTAAGAATGAAATGGATTCTGATGCAAAAGAACAACAGTGCATCTGTGTCCTGTCTTAACACTAATTACCCCTGACAGTTCCTAGTTCCTGCTCATCTGACCTAACCCTCCTAAATAGGAAAGAGGGGAGAAGAATGTTGAAGAGCACATCAACACTGGCTAATTAAGCCAACAAAATACATTTTAGTCAGTACAATCTATACTCAAATCCAAGTCTTTCAGCTCCTAGCAGTATTCTGTAGATGCCTCAGGGAAAGCTATTCTCAGAGAATTGTCCTTTGTTCTACCTGCTTGCGTGGGAGTTATTGTGGAAGGGAGGGGCAGGACTGTCTTTGTCTAGCCCTGACCCAAAATGCTGTCCTCTCAGGGGGTAGGCATTACATCTGGTGCTGACAGTGACTTAACTGACACTTCCCTGTGTTTCTTCCCAGCTTTAAAATACCGCAGTCCAGCAAACAGCATCGTTTTCCAGTCAGCTGGTATGGCAAATGGGACAATAGAGGAAAATAAAGTGATAGAGGAGGCATCAGAGTGGGAAGACATGGAAACAGGCAAGGAGGGGGAGGAAGAAGAGGAGGATTTCACAGAAAGTGATGATGAGCAAGAAGATATGGAAGAAGAAGAAGAAGAAAATGATGCCAAAGAGGTAAATCAGGGTTTCATTAGGCTTTTTCTAACTGTTTAGATCCTGACACCAATACCCAGTCAGTATTCTGCTGTAAACAGAATGTGCAGGCACTGTGGAGCCACCGAGAGTAATCAAAAGAGATAAGGGTTGGGCTTGTTGCTTCATTAAGGAAACAACATTGTTGTAAGGCAGTGTGGTGCTGACCAACTATACAAGGGGACATCCAACACTGTCATCAGTCTCTGTTAGGTTTCATTTGCATGAGAGACTTCATTAGTGATGTCTGAATAAACACGTATGTCTGACCTCTCTGACTTGTAGGAAAGGAAAGTTCAGGTCGCCAGGAAAGCAGAGCTTGGAAACCAACAAACAAGTCCTACAAATTCAGAAAAGCAAATAGCAGGTCTGTATTACAAACACTGGCTTGAAGGAGAGTCTCTAGTACTCTGGCACTTGCATTGGTTTCACTAATACAGGATTTTCTGTTCTCAGGAAGTGAACATTCCAATTCACTATCACTCAGCTTGGATAGGACAGCAGATGAAGATGACGCCTACGATTTTAATACAGACTATGTGTAATGAATTGTGTGTGAAGATACCATTTGGAGACTCCTATTTCTGGCTTTAAGATAGTCATGAAGACTTCTGTGGTGGCAGAAGTTGGAGGAATGCTGTATACCAGAGCTGCTGCAAAGATTCACAATCATTGTGTCAAATAATGTATATAATACTGCATCTCCCTTGATTGTTCCAGATTTTGTACAAGTCTAGGAAACTGACTGTATTCAGCTTTAAGTCCCAATATTTCCTTTATTGAAAAAAAGCCTATTTTAAAAAATTCTTAATAGAATGTTCACTTTGCCTTATAAAAAATGTTTCAAAAGGATAAACCCTTAGTCTTTTTCTTCAAAAAACTATGGTAAATGTTTCATTCTAGTCATGTTCAAGCAATTAAATTTCACGGTATGTTTTCATCCTCCACAAAATTTAATCGTGTTTTCCTACAGGATTACAGAAACTGTATGCCTAGAGCATGACTTAAGTCAGGAAGTTTTCAGTATACTTTTGCAAAACTTGTGGAGCTTTCATATGCAAAGGTTGGCTAGAAAATACTACTTATTGCAGCTAGACATCAGGTATTTTATCTAAGCACTGCTTTGTATGTTCAGAAGCTTCACTGGGAAAGTTAATGTGACATTATGGTATTGGTAATCTGTCTTCCCTGGGGAACAAGCTTCCTGTTCTTACAGTGCTCGTGAACAAAAGACAGCTTGCCTGCTGCCACCTATTATACATGACAACAACTGGTAACTGTAAAGCAAAACATCACCCTGTTACTGCTCTCAGCCCAGAGCAGAACTGGGGTAGCAGGAGAATTACCAAGAGGCCCTGCAGCTGCTCAATGAATTAAGCCTTTAGAATAAACACTTGACACCAAGCATCCTCCTCTCTGCCTGTTTTCTTCCTATTAACTTAAAGGTTTGATTTCCATGTTCTTTTCTTTAATAGCAAGTTGTACTTTTCCCTAAATATTGAGGCATAGTCCTCCCAGGCAGCTCAGAAGAGTAGTAAGTGCAGACACAGTCACCTGCAGTTCATTTAAGCCTGCTAAAACACAGCCTGGTCATCAGAATTAAGCTGGCATCAGCTGATATAGTACAATCTTTCAAAGTCTGATAACTGAGCTTACTTCATTACTCTTAACTACTTCAAGGACAAAAATAGTCTCACCAAAACCCAGGAAAAGAAAGGACAGGTTACAAACCACAGATCAGCATCCACGACAGAAACAGAACTACAGGCAGTGGCTGCAGTAAGTCAAGCAGTTGGAAATGCTTTTAAATTCTAAAGCAGTACTAAAACCAGATTCATACACATGAACAAGCCCTTTAGCTCTGTTGCCCTGCATCTCAGACCACACAACAGAGCCCATCCCTGCATTAACACAAAGCATTTTGTCTAAACATCTTACACTGAGGAGTGTTCACAAGCAGTATTATAGAATAAAAATGACAACTTGAGTTCAAACCCATAGTAAATGGAATAGTTGGCACAAGAGCTACTGGGATATATCAGCTAATCATAACCACTACTCAAATGTAACACTACAATTATTAAAAAAAAATCTTACCTATATAAAAAGCGATGAGCAGCCACCTGCAAAAGGGCACAGGAGTCTTGCTTGATGAGTTTAAAGGGCCAGACCGGGAAAGGCATGGTGGGAAAAACTCCTATAGCAGAGCCATGCTCAGTTTGGAGAGCTGTGAAGAACTTAACAAAATTAATCTGCAGTTCATACAGCCTGATCCCCAAAATAAACATTCTGCACAATTTTAGAAAGATGGTTTTCACAAAGATGAGATCAAACAACTTCAATTTCGATCACTTCCTACTGTATTTAAGTACAAAGGAAACACTTCATAGATCAGATCAAGACCAGAATTAGACTGTCATTTACCTGAGGTTTGAGTCAACATGTTAAAATTAGCTTTTATTTTTGAACAAAGTTTTTTCCACCACTTTACAAAAAATGTTTTAGTGTTCACTGGCAGTTAAAATCACTTTGCATAGTGAAATAATACTCGAAAAATCTTCCAAAAAAAACAAGATTCAATTTCGCAGAATTCTGCAAGACTTACACAGAAATGGTTGGGAGGAGATTTCATGCAAGAAAGGGTTGTTGATGAAACTATTTCACCTGATAAGAAAACAAAACAAAAAAAATAACAAAACCCAAGCAGCTCTTAATTACAGTACATTGCTGTGCAAGATTTGCATGGTGCAAGCACCAGCTGAAGTTGTATCTTGTGCTCAGAAACTGTTTCTTTCTGTAGCTGACAAAATGATCCTCCTCTAGAAGACTTGTAGTAAAGAGCAGAAGAACAAACAACAGAGAGAAATGAACTAACAAAAGAGCTAGTTAGTCGAGATCCTCCCTTGCTTTCTGTAGTGCTGCTGGAGTAGCATCTTCTGTCACACAGGTGAGTCTCCTTTGGACCTGTGCCCTTCAGAACTGCACCTGAGTAAGTGCATCACCTTGTGCTCCAGAAGGCAAGGACTGCTCTGTAATACAAGCTGGCTAAAAACAAAGTTCTGCTTGGCTCCAGAAGTTTCCTGAGAAAACGCCATCAGTTGTTAAAATTGACTCTACTTTGCTTCATAGGCTTCTGAATGTCTGCGGATGAGGCTGAATTTGCCTGTAGGGTCAGGGACGTACCACTTCTCCCAGACTTCAGCGTATGAAGCTGTTCTTCCCCACGGTTTGAAATGTCCATTCCAATGGAGTAGCTTGGCAGCTTTCACAAACTGAGGAGAGTACCTTTTTCCAGCACTAGACCCTTTTATTGAAAAAGAAGCATTAGTGCCCAAAACAAAGGCAGCAGAAACACCAACATGCAATATTTTAACTTCAAAACAAAGGATTTTAACAAAGGAAATCTTGTCATGTAGGGAGATAGGAAGGGATACGGAAAGCAGAAATCAAGGCAAAGTGAAAAACATAACCAGGTGCAAGTGAATGCCACTTTGATCACAGTATCTATTTTAATGTACTGCCTTAACTTCCAAGTTCTTTCAAGCCCCCTTAATACCCAGATGTATTCAGCAGCCAATGTATTGTTCACTGGCAAAAACACCTAAGAAAGCCCTCCCAGCACTGAGGTTTCACCAGCAGCAGAACAGATATGAATGTCTGTTCCTCTCAACAGTCTTGGACAAAAACACCTAGGATCACTTCATATACAGTAGATATGTGGAAAAAGAAAAGGAAAATGAGAAGTAATTTGAGAATGATCCCCCTAGAACTTCAAAAAAGAACATGAAAGATCAGGCCCACAAGCCCCATGATGGTATTGCAAAGCACTGTTCCTTAAAGAATGAGGTATAAAATAGGGGAAGAAAAGATCCATTTGCTGCATCATTAGCTAGGTGTCATCCAGCTACAGACCTGGAAAAACACACTGAGGGAGCAGCATCACCAGTGTTTCATACATACCGAGATGCCGGACATTCCACATGGGATCAATACTGGAATGTTGCTTGTAAAATACAATTAGCAGTGGAGGTGTCGTGATGCTGCCAGCCAGAGTCCTACTGTAAAGTTCCTCTCTGAAAAAGAAGATTAAAAGAAGTTGGGAAAACATGCTTGTGTGGCCCTAAATCAGTTAATTTTCACTTGCAGCTCCATGACAGGAATCCATAGACATACACAGCCCTTCATTTAACAGTTAAACACCATCACCATAACCCAATTCCTGGGCTTGGGGGTACTTACACTACATTCAGTGCCATCCACTTCTCCAATTGCTTAGTGATGTTCTGTAACTTCCATTCTGTCAAATTGGCAACAAAAACTCCTGGATTGAAAGAGCAGGTGTTGGCTTTCATGGCAAGCTTTCGGATGGTTTCTTTTTTGTAATCTAAAAACCCAATGTAATTATACTGAAAAAAATAAAAAGAGTGTAGAAATTAACTTAAAACTATGGTCAAATTACTATCTGCACAATTCCCAACAGACAAGCGTAGCTTTTTGTTGTTAAAGGAAATAGCCCTTCCTTTAAAACAAGAGAAAGAAAGCTTAAGAGGTTCAATATTTTAAAAATATTATTATATAAACTATGTATTTTAAGGAATGCTGCATGGTCTTAATACCATATTATTAATATGGTACCACTCCCAGAAAAAGTACTTTTTATACACTCACAAATTAAAAATTCTCCCTCTGATGTTCTAAGACCTCCTGCTGTTCCACACTGGGAATTGCTCTCCTTGTAAAGCACAGCAAAAATTCAGAGTGCTTTTACTGTGCCTAAACAGAAACTGCAGGTATCAATTGTAACATAAACATCAGAGTAGACTGATTTGGGTAGGTACAGTCACTCCTTTAGGTTCACTGAATTTGGAAGTCAATCTGCAAGGACATTAAAACAGAGTGGCTGTTAACAAAGCCTAGAATCTATAGTACTGTTACCACTAAAGCAGAATAAAACTAACCTGATTGCCTGCTCCACGGACAGCAACTTTATTAGTGGTTGAGTCACAATCATCTGAAAATGCAGCTGCATGTCCAGGTTTCAATGGAGTGTTGTAAAGTTCAAGGATATCATCTGAAAAATGGAAGCGAGCACAGAAAAATTAAAAGCAATCCTGATTAAGCACTAAGTGACTTTTTGTTTAGTCCACTGCTAAGCAGATAAAACCACTCAGTTTAATCCAGCTCATTCATATTTACACAGTTTTTACATCTTTCCTTGAAGTGTTTGGTTACTGTAAGAGATGGCATACTGACCTCAGCACAAGGCCAGTAGCAAAAGGCTAAGAAAAGGTCCCATACCTTGCACTATTACATCATCATCCACATAGATGACCTTCTCTGCATGAGGTACCAAATCAGGCAAGTAGAATCTTGCAAAGGTTAACTGTGAAAACAAGAAAGCAAGAGAAGTGAAGAATTAAATTAAAAATTGCCCAAATAAGTGTGAAATTGACTGATACTCTTGGCATTTATGTATGGCACTAATGTCCAAGACAGCTTAAATCAAAGAAGTAAAATAGGAAGCAATATCCTAGAAGTTAATTAAAATAAAAAGGTTCCATCAATTCTTGGTTTCCTATGAATTTGTGCATTGATAAACTAACTTTAAAACTGGTCTATATTAGAATTTCTTATTTCTCCACATGTATCTGTAGTATCTCTGAGGTGCTGGCATGCTTGATATGCAAGCTGCTGTGTTTCACTGTAGGTAGCAGCAAAAAAAGATACTAGGCATGCATATGTAGATGTTCAAATCCATCTCTCATTATCTGTAAGTTTATTCTTACTGAAATTTGGGAATTTGATTGTAAAAGATGCTCCTATGTGAAAAGATTTGGGTTTTATCTCTAGTTGTGTTCAAAAGCCAGTATCAAAATACAGTTACTAACTGATAATTTCAAAAAGTAATCAACATCGTCCTCACTGGTTTTAAGGTGTCTGCCTTTTGAGGATCCACTTGTACTTTCCCTTCTAAGACATGAGGGTCAAAATCCAAAATTCGGTATCTCAAATTTTTCAGAGCAGTGTTACTTAGCCACAGCCTGCAAACAGGAGAAAGGCACAGATCTTGTTAAATGAGACAAAATCAAATTAAAAGCAAGAGGTCTGATTGACAGTGACACAGATCTTGATCTGGCCACTCGCTTCCCTATCCAACAAACACACATATAGAATGTAACCTATGGCTGATGTCAGTGGTGTGCTGTATGATGGCAAGGGGCACGCGCACTGTCAGCATACTGCACAGATGTGACACGTGAAAGGTATGAGGTTACTTCTTATTTTATTAGAAATATATGGTCCTGTTATCACAGGCCCTTCACAAAAACCATTGATGTGAACAGATACGGGTAAAAATAAAAGGATCAAAGAACAACCTAGAAAAATGGAGAAACTTCATTGCCAGCATTTGAATTGCTTAGATGAAATGTAGGAAGTAACTTCTACAATCCCTCCAACCAGCAAACTCTAACCCCACTGGCTCAATATAACCCCAGTGGAAAAGATGGCTCTGTTCCATCCCTGAAACACCACCAGAAGGAATAACCTACTCCCCAGAGCAGCCTTGTCAAAAAGCTGCAATCAGCAGCAGCAGGCAGGGCTGCAAACAATTTAGAGGAGCACAGTTCCAGGGAAAGTCAGCTCTTCCTCTTCTCAGAGATGCTTCAGTTTTACAGTATTGTGGGAATCTAATGAAAAGATCATTACCTCAAGTGATCCACAGTATCATTCAAAGTAACAATATGGAAAACCACGTTGGATCTGGTGTGATGGTAAATACTGTTCATGGCTGCAATTGCACCCCCAAGCCTCTCATCCGACGCTGCGATGACCACAGAAATCTCTTTGTCATCCCTTTCATCTGCCAGCCTCTGGGGAACCGCAGGTATGAAATCTATAGGCTGAAGTCCCAATGGATTTGAATCTGTGGAGTACAAATGCCATTGCATAGTTGTTTTGTGCAAAAGAAACACATTATTACCATGGTAAAATTTCCAACACCTTCAGTTATTTCTACTATGCAAGCACTTGGATGTCTCAGTTGATGTGTGGATTACAGCATGCCAGTATCAAACACTTAAAATCTAGCACCTGCTTTTGAGAATCCAGATGTTAATGAACAGGAAATCATCACATTTACAAATAAACTACATGTATTTAACCATATATATTTACATGCAGCACAACGAGGTACTAAAATGAGGCTTAAACTACAGTAGGTCACACTTAATCTTTGGTCTCCTCTGCCACATCTATAATCTCCCTGACTTCCCCCTCCCATTTACCCTAACCACATTCCAGTCTTCTCCACATCACCTGTCCCTCTTTGTCTTCTACTTTCTTTTCCTCTTAGGTAGCAACCAATTAAGAAAACAGAAATTCTAAATTAAAGTAACTGTTGTGAATTTTTTTGCCACCAAAGATGAAGGCATTAAGTACAGGCCCGTGTTTCTTTCAGGCATCACAGATCATTATCTGAGCTGAAACCACAAGAATTTATACTCATAGTGTGCAGACAGGAAAATCAGAGATCAATGTTGAAATTTATTACTAGACCACATCACCTGTAAAAGCTGGCAAATTGCCCACTACCTGAACTTTTTGTAACAACACTGATACCTTTTGGATGATCTAGATTATTACACAGGAGATAAATTTAGGTAGTCTGAGGAACACAGCAAACAGGGACTTGGCAGTTTGTGGGCAACATCCTGTTGTTTCTGCTTCTCTGTTTCTGTTTGCCCTTTTCTGATGACAAAGCTCAACAGCTTGGACTTAACTGATTCCTGGGTAAGGCCTGTCACACTCCTATTCAACTGCTGTTGGGAAGCATCTGTACAACTGCTACCCGGGAGCAACAGCTCCCAGGAGTGGCAAACTGGGACGTGGCAGTTAAAGGGAACAAGAAAAGGCTCTGTGGGACCATGTCAGTTCTTAAAAGTGGACCCTCAAAAATGAAAAGGCTTTGCTAAGCAAACTGAATTGTATCTTAATGACTTTTAAAGTCAGAAGGAACCCTTACTGCTATCTCATCTGGCTTCCCAACTGAGAAAAGTCACAGGACAGCAAGAACAGATAAGCCCACCAAGCTGAAGTTTCTTGTGTATGACAACAGGAAAAGATCTACTCATAGGAGATAATGATTGATCATTATCACACACATTATTTTAGCAACACGGTGCTTTCTGTTTCACCAGAGCATGTGCTTTCCCACCAATCTTAAAACAAACAAACAAACAAACAAAAAACAACTTACCTGACAATTCCTGTCTCAAGAAGTCACTGAGGCCTAGAAAGTTATGATGAAGAACTAGCAAAAATATGACAACTGCCACTATAAGGATGGAAATGTTCACTGAAAATTTAAAAGAAAAAAGTTTATTAATATAACCAGAGAAAGACTGGGAAACTCAGAAAAGTACAAAAGAGATTTTTTAAAAATTAGACATACACTTATACACATACCTTTCCTTAATGTCATTTTTCTTGTTGTTTTATTATTAGCATAAGCTTCCTGTGAACCTGCAAGAGAAAAAATACAGCAGCCACTTACTACTTACAGTAAGTGCCTACACAAGGCATAGCACACTATCACCAGGAGCATCAGAACAATTTCTGAATGCAGCGAATGTTTCCTTCTCTTAAGAAGATAAAACTGTGTTACATTTTAATAACTGAGTACGGTACCTCAGTAAGTACATAGCTACAATGACATAGCTAAAGAAGAACCCAGAGATGGAGAGGGAGACCTAGAGATCTCGCCACTTGCTTACTGACAGGAAAAAAAACAACAAACCTAAACTCCCTGTCAGTCAAAAGTGATCTAGAAAGAATCTGGAATGTTCTGTACATTTTTTGGTTGGTTGGTTGGTTGCTTTCTTTGTTTTGTGGGTTTTTTTTACCATCAAACCAAATTATTTAAGTATCTGAACTGGAAGCATCCCAGCCATAAGGCAAATGATTCTACATTTCTTCCCGCACTTAACTAGTTAACTGCAGGATTCTGCCAGGACACAGTGTTTATAAGATTTTAACAAACAGCATTATACACTTTCAAAACCATTATATTCTCTGCATAAAATATATCAGAATATCACCTGAAGTGTCATCATAGAAAAAGGATCACAAAAGAGTAAAAGAAAGTATTACCATCATGTTATAGAAGGGGATAAAAACACACACTGAAAGCAATGATGCCATTCGGTAGTGTCCTGGTTTTCAGCTGGGACAGAGCTGGGTTTCTTTTTCAGTAGTTAGAACAGTGCTGCATTTTGCTTTCAGCCTGGGACTTGTTAAGAGAAAGACACTGAGAACACACCAGTGTTTGCATTTTTGTCGCTGGAAGTGAAGGACTTTGTGTTCTGTCAGTCTACAAGTGCAAGATCTAAGGGGGTGAGGAATATTTAAATTAATAAGCTAAATTGGCATTTAGCTCTGCCAATGGGATATTCCAGATCATATCACGCCATGTCCAGTGTATTAGTGGGGACTCTTCCTCTCTTGCTCTCTCTGGCTTTCGCTCAGGCTCTCGCTCTTCCAGGACTGCGGTTTCAGTTCGGGATTGTCGCTCCTCGAGGATCATCATCTGGGCTTGGTCGGTTGGTGGTGAGCAGCTGCACTCTGTACCACTCATTTGTATATTTTGTTACTGTTATCATTATCACTCCTATTTTAATATTAGTATTATTTTAAGTTTTCTTTTATTTCTATTATTAAACTGTTATCTCAACCTACAAGTCCCTTTATCCTTGCCCCCCAATCCTCTCCCCTATCCCCTGCGGGTGGGGGGCAGTGAGTGAACAGCTGTGTTGGCTGCTAGCCCAGTGCTAGCCCAGTGCTAGCCCAGTGAAACCACCACAGGTATGCAATTCAAACACAGACATTCACTATTTAAACAGTACCTGGAGTTGTGAAACCAGAACAAGAACCACACATCCCGGAGCGGGAATGAGCTCGCAAGTAATGCACAGAAAGTGCTCACACCATAACAACGTGCAAGATCCAAGAAAGACAGTTCTACATTAAAACACTTGCAGAATTTCCAAGTGAACACTGCTAATTGTGCTGTGACTATTCTGTGTGTCAGACGTGAGGACCTTCTGCCCGCTGCTGGGTCTCCCCCGGGGGGAAGGTCCCTTTCTGGAGCACCAGCAGCAGATGCCGTGTCGGCTGCAGCCGGGCAGGACACGCAGCCTTAGCTCACAGCAGCACAACGCGACGTCTCTCATTGACATGGAGGATGTCGCAAAGCTCCTCGGCCCTTGGGGCAGCGATGCGGGGGGTGCCCGCACCTACCTGCAGC